TATTTATCTTTCATAAAAATAAGAAACTGTTTTTCAACAGTAGATCTTAAATAAAAAAGAAGAAACTAATTGGTGATTCAGGTTGATGGTATCTATCTTCCACAGCTGTATCACAGGTTATTTTGCTGTGAGTTTGTGGCGTAAGAGGTATCTGGTTTGTAAGCAATTCAACTTTATGAAATGAGAACAACTTAGGTATGCCAAATCTGGACAGCAGCCAGAAGGCTGCATAAATGTTATTTTGGAAAAGTCATCTTTCTTAGAAAGATCTGATTGTAGAGATTGCATACTTCAACTTCCCATTCTTTTACACTTCAGTCGTATGTTGAAATTCAATGGATTTCACGTTGAGTAAAATAAATTGCTTCCGCATTACAGTCTTAATATTTAGAGTGGCATAAGATGTTATAATCATGCTATGAAGAATTTCTTTCAAGCATTGAACAGTATAATTTTCTAAGAAAGTGATGGAAAGCTACTTGCTGGTCACTAAATCCTTATATTATCTGAAATAATCCAACAATGCGAGAGTTCGGACTACAGTAGAGAGCTCTACTTTCTAATTAATTGCTAAGCATTGCTTATTGTAGAACTTACAGTTATGAGATGACAGACATATCAGTAGACACCTTTAGAAATTATTGAAGTTAGGACTCAGCAAAAACATACTTTAGGGCTATTTTGGAAGAACACTATATTAACATTCTAAAATATATTAATTGAAAATATATATTTCTGCATGGTTTTCACTTGTTTAAAAAATGGTTATCATTCCTTCCCTTAGACAAGAATGTACCGTGTTCTGCAAAATGCCTTAATGAATACAGTCTTAAGTAGCTGACGTTTGATGCAAATCCACAGAAAATGAGATCTAAACAGAGTAGCCTGTCATCCTTATCCCTGTAGCTCGTGCACTTGACATGGTAAGATTATGTGGAATTGTAGAGGTGTGATAGCTGGTTTAGAAAGACGTGAAGGACAAGTTTTCTGTTCTAAAGAGCTTACAGTGACCATGAAAACTCACAGGGTAGGGATCCTGAACGTTTGAATAGCACTGATTAGCACATGCCACATCTATGCCAGTAACTTCTGTCTGGATTTCCGTATCGCGTTCTGTATCCTCTTACAGGAAAGTATAGTTAAGTGTTGAACTGGATTGCTGTATCTGAAAAAGCACAGATGACATGAGCACTGGGTAAAGTGTGATTTCTGGGTTAGTAAAAAACTGATCTTAACATTTTTAAAGCCAATATCTAGGTCCCTGCCAGGATGGGGGCAGGAGGAGGGTCACAGTGAGGCTAGTATCATGCTTTCATGTTGCCACCCCTGCTGTAGTACCTGGCATAATACGACAGCACTGCCTGTCGATCGTCCTTTCTGAAGATCTGGGCCCAGTTTGTTCACTGGGCTGAACCAAAGGAGGACGCTGGCCTTCAGTTATTTCATGCCTACAAGTAGTAATTAAGAAACACATGAGCAAAGCTGAAGCGAAGAATTACCCAGCTATTTTCCTTTTAGCTGTTAAATCTACTGGCTATAACACCCAGCCACACCCTCCACAGAAAGAAACCCCACACGCTGCTTCTTTAAACTGAATACATAAGAAACTAGGAAGGTTTCTGAGAACCCCTGCGGTGTTTCCCTGCATTTGTATCAGGCACTCATAGAGCAAATGAACCTGCTTTTTCTGACGTGTTGGGATCGGCTAATCCTGTATTTTACAAACCAGCATATTGTCTGCTGTGGAAAGGGCCAGGAGCTTTAATCTTTACTGACAACTGTTTCCCCCCCCCCTTTTTTTTTTCTAGGAGGACAACTGTTAGTTTTGTGGCATACTGCTGCTCCACCCAGTGTCTGCAGACTTTTGACCTACTGAGTTGATAAACATTTAAAACTACTCAGGAGTGCTGCCAGTTTAAAGCTGCATTAGACGTCATATCCCATTGGTACTGGAATACTGTGTGTGTGCGTGTGTGCCAAAGCAGCAGAAGTGCCCGGTCGGGAACACTAAGAGGCACTTAAATCCTGCCCTATCAAATTTGGATGAACTGCAGAAACTTTTCGGAAGTGTAAATACCAAGCTTTTAAAAGTATTAACTTCTCTCTCCTCCAAGACAGCATACAAACCAAACAAATTCACAAGCTCTGACTTCAGGAGGATTTCCAGTATCTTTCAAATGTGGCTGTCTTCAGGTTGATCCATTGCATCATTTGAGGCAGTTTTCATTCCTCCAACAGGGGGGAAAAAAAAAGGTCCAGTTATGACAAGCCAGTTCTCACTTATTTGCCCCCTCATCCTCATCATCCCTACAGCTGGATTCAGGTGTATAGGTCTAAGCCTACAGAAGCTTTTGAAGGGTCCCAGTGACTTTCCTGTAGAACTTAGCTTTTATTTTCTCCCCCTCATAATATTTTCCTCAGCAGAGTTATCCCAGTTGTATACCAAGTCTCTGACAGTCAACTGTGCTATTTAAATCCATGTATTAAAAGCCGATCTTTCTTTCTGGTGTCATTAGAAGTCACAGTGATTTAATTGGAGTAACCAGGATATGACTGGAGACTAAAGATCCTGTTTCAGTAAGGAAGGCTGGTACTGATGCCTATGCTAAGTGGTCTTGCTCCAGCATGTTAGAGGGTGTGTTTTCTTTATTTTCATTGCTTGAGTTTTTTATTGTTAAAAACGCTTCCCCTTCTGCTTCTTTTGAGTTCTTCAGGAAGAAGACTTTAAGTACAAAGTTCACTTGAAAAAAATAGTAATATGATAGTAAATATTTATCTATATTTATTACATTTTTACAATTGCAGACTATAGATCTGCAAAGAGTTGGTCTTCATCTTTTTCTAGATTCAGCATTTGGCTGATTTGTGAAAGTGTGTCAGTGGAGTGTGTTAACCTCGGAGAAGGCTGGAAATCAGGGGGGGAGGTATGTGCATCTCCACGCAGAGGTATATATGCATACACAGATATCTTCACAGAAGGGCTGTAACATTTGTTTTCATATATTAATGGCAGATTTAGCGCAGATTTCCACTCACTGTCATATTTGTGGGAATCCTTTTTTGTTAGATCTTGTTCATTTTAAATAAAGGACAAAGGATGGAAAAAAGGCCCCAAATGTCTGCATGACTTAAATTTTTAATTTTACACTGAAACAGTTTATACAAAATTAGCCCCTCCTGACTTGTTTTGGAATATATAATTTTTTTAACACAATGTGTGGGGTTTTTTTTACTTTCAATTTCTTAGGTATAAACTACTTGTTGATTTAGCACAGTGTGCTACTCTGTGCAGTAGGTAGTTACAAGCTGAAATAGATATGAATGAAACAGTTTGTTATAAAAATGGCAAGATAAAGAGACTTATTTGGTAGCATATTAGCATATGTTGTGGTGAGGTGTGCATACTTTGAAGGGAAGAGGCATTAAAATGTTTTCCTTTTGCCAAAGAAGCATTTGTTCCTGCTGCAGGATTCCTGGCATCTCTTCAATAAATAGAGTATCTTAAGAGCTTAAGAGAGTACCAAAAAGGCAGTTTTTGAGGGTGGAATTTTTAGGTTGTACATGTTACTTGTAAAAGCTTTGCTGGTTTTATTGGGTTGGTTTTAGAGAGTTGAATTAGCATTAAGAAATGTAGAACTTAATCCTTCAGGAATGCAGGTATCATCTACTATTTAGGAATTGTGAAACTCTCTAAAATAAATCCTATTTATTAAATCTGCTTTGCAGTAGGGGAAAGAGCCATGTCCAAGCAGACTTTGTACTATTGGATTTCTGACTCTGTCATTTCACTCATTTGTTTCAACATTGGTATCCCCAACAGGCTTTCCCACCCAGCGGGGTTTACCACTGAAGCAGCAAAATGAATCTTCAGCTTTTTTCTTTTCCTTCAGTACTACACAGCTGAGATGTAAATTGCCCATGTACAATTATACCTATATCAGAAATGTGCAAGTGTAGTACAGAATCCATTTTTTTAAATGGATGATAAAAGAACTGTGGTAGTGTTACGAATACTAATTTTTGATACAATACTCTGATCAGGAATTTTCAGTATTATTTTTACTGTGGCTTCCCCTGTCTTTGAAGGAGATGTTTTGTTGGAAGTTTTTGTCCTCTTCTTATAGCAACGTCCGAACTTTAAAACAAAGTTTATTTCTGAATTAAGTCTGTAAATATTATTTTGGCATTAAATCTTTTGATCAGCTAAACGCCAATGCCTTCTGTTTTATTAGGAGTCAGATAGTAAAAGTGGAGCTTGATTTTTTTTAATTATTTATTTTTAATTTTCTTTCTTCTTCCCATAATTATTTTTTGAGTTTATATCAGTCTCTTTATTATTGTCTACAAGTGCAGTTCAGAAGAAATTTAGTCTGTTCTATAAGCAGGATGAATCTTAACTAACACTTTAATAGATGATATTTCAAGAATGGAATGTTCAATGAACAAATGACTTAAACACGCAATTGAAGCTGAAATGTCATACCCTATTTTTATAAAACAAGGAAGAGGAAAGCCAATATATAGACTGAAAATGCAGCTTAAATTCATGTTTCTGTGATTTTTTTGATACGAACAGTGTTTGTATTCATCTGTATCTTTGGGTGATATTGTTCTAGATTAAAATAACTCCTTTCTCACTTGTCCAAATTTTTCTACTGTAAGAGTATTTCATAACCAGCTAACATGAGAGCCAGCTACGCAAGTTGTAGAGGGGAGAGGGAGCTTCTTGCTGATTGAACTGTGCATCACTTGTTTTTCAATACAAGGTGTCACAATACTTGGACTTCTTTTTAATGCGTTTATTTCTAAGTAATTTTTGATTGCTTGCTCTTGTTTGTCAGGTTAGTTCACACTGAGATAAATTTTTCCTTGTACTGCAAAAAATCTGGTTCCAGCAGTTGAAAAAAAAGACCATTTTTAAAGGGTTTTTTTGTCATAAAAGTAGATCTTAACACTTTGCTTAGGGTGGGAGCAGGAGAAGTTTCTGGGGGTTTTTTCTAGGCATTATAAAGATAAAGGTGCAGGAGAGAAATCGGAGAAGATAAATCTTTAACCCATTGATACTGCTATGAAAGTTTTCAGAGTAGAGATTAACTCCTAATGTGATTAGGGAGCACAGGCATAATTTTTGTTTCTGGTGTGATAACAGGCACCATGTTAATAAAATTGGGACTGTACTGCTTATAGAGATAACTTCTTGTTCTGCCACAAAGGAAACAGAGGAACCTCTGGCTTTGTTTAAAAACACTACTTGAGCGGTTTTACCGTGGACACTGTTACATTTGGAGCACTGTGCTTGGGAACCTTCCTGTTACTCCCCCGAAGGATCAGAAATCCAAATGTCCTCCCCTGTGTGAAGAACAAGGTCTAAAATCAAGAAGCATGTATTTTTCTGTCTTGGCCTGATGCTTCTCTTGGGCTCTTATTGAAGTTCATTACAAACCTTCTATTTACTTCGTTGCGGTGAGGTTAAGATCTTACACTGAGCGGAGCAGAGCTGTTTATTGCCGAGTTGGCTTCAATTCTTATATATTGAATTCTGCTGAATCCCTTTTTCTGGCATGAAGGGAGGACGAGACTGTTGTAACACCCGTGTGGTAACAGCGTGTCAGGTTTTACTGACATCACAGCCAAGTTAAAGACTGGAGAGTGACAAACCTTTCACTAGAGAGGATGACTTTTTTTTGAAGGCCACTGTGGCCCCATCAGAGTACCACTGATAAGAGAAGAACTTCTGCCTTGATGTCAGTGGAGGATGGATCAAGTTTTAATTGATGAGAGAGAAGAATGTGTTTGACCGTCTTTGTATTTCTTGCAAAAACTAGGACAATGACACTGAAGTCCGTGCCTGCTGTTACGCAGCCTCTCTATCTGCAGCTGAACTTACCTAGTTTTCCAAGACGTAACTGTCTTTGCCTCTTACCTCCCTCTTAATACTACTCACATAGTTGCAAAATGTTACAGTTAACTTGTGATGGAAGAGGCTGAGTAAATGGAATCCAGAGTTTTTATTACTTTTTGTATTACAGACCTATTTTCTAAGAGACCAAAGGTCTGGTGGAAAGAATTGGCAAGGTTCATGTGAAGTCTTCATTGCTTTTGCTTTTATGTGCCCTTCTTTGGATTACAACTTAAACTTGGATTGCAACTGAGTTTGTTCTATGTCTGTTGAAAGCATATGTGTATTGCTTTTTTGCTCTGTATTAACCAAGTGTCACTTAGTGTGAAGGTGAGCTTGCTAGATGTTTTATTTAAAGTTAGTGGTGCAATTTATTGTATGTGCTTGTTAATAAACTATATTTTTGGATAGAATTACATTCCATTAACATTACCTAAATTCTTGCTCCTGGGGCTATTAAGCTATGTTAGGATGCAGCATTTAATTTACATTTCAGTTCATTTGCATAGTAATTAACTAATAAGGCTTTTGTGCCAAGGCTGGAGGGGTGGGGTGAAGACGCTTCTTAAAACACTACCAAGCCCAAAACACCACTTCAATTCACTTAATCCCTTTGTCTCAGACAATGTAGTTCACCAGATCTTGCATAACAGGAACAAAACCCTTATGGAAACATTACTTTAGACCCTTCTATGGATTGATCAAAAGAAAAATAACTTTTGATAGGGCTGTATTAAGTGCCACCCTAATAGTCCATAGATGTGGTTGTGGTACGTGTATTATTTACTAAGCAGCATTCAGCAGCTTTTTTCCCCTCATCTAACAGATACCATAGGAACAAGGTTACCAAAAATAAGTAGAAATTAAGCAGCTGTTTTTCCTGTTATTTCACTCCTTGCTGTGCAGCATTTTGCTTCAGTCAAAGCTGCTACTCTGTCTCTCTTCTGATGAGTTCTTTGAGTTGGATGCTGTCTGAATTACTGTATGTGTATTGGGTGAATACTAGCATATCCATTCTTAAATGAGACCTATGATGGTCAAGGTGACTCTGAAAATCCGTTATAATGGATGCCTTGAAGGGTTTCAATACCGTTCAGACTTCTGTGATGCTTATTTGCTACTAAATTTACAATGACTTGCCTTTTTAGTGTTTTACAAATGACAACATAAGTTTTCCTACCCTTGCAATGTCAGTAACCTCTGTTTGTGAGGCAGCAGGAGGAGAATGCAAGTCCCTTAAGTGAGATGGGGGGGAGAACAACCCTTAACCTATAACTTTTACCAACCACTGCTGTGTCCCTTATGAATTAGAAAGAAACAAATGGGAGAGCTTAACATCCTTTTCCTTCGCAATTAAAAGTACTTGGCATAAATGCAAGCTAAGTGGAAACTTCAGTGGCTGAATAATGCTATTGTATGCAGGAAATGAGAGGAGCTGGGATCTCACTTGGAAAGGCACTGGATGTTTTGTGACTTCTAAGCCAAGATTTAGGGCTGTTCTGTGTGTTGACATTTTGGGAACTTGAGAGCCGCATTGAACCACTGCACTGTGTCCCCCAACTTCAGTGGTCCCTTAATATTACAGTAGAGCCCTCTCTATTCTGCACTGAAGAATCCTACGGGTATTCCCTGTAGCTGGCTCAGGAGCCTGGGAGTGGCCATTTAACTATCAGATTTCTGTCTGCTACTTCAGCAAGAAAGAGAGCAAGAGTTGACCGTAATGCTTTCTTTATCTTTTGATATTTTAAATAATAAAGCCCTCATAGCATGCTTTTTCAGCACCCATTATGCCCTTCAGACATCTCCTGCTCCCAGGCAAAAGACCTTGACACATCTGTGAGAGATCTTAAGTCTCAAGAACGAAAGCAGTTCTGTTGTTGGAGGTGCTGAAGTGATTTGACTTTCTGATGATGCCTTCCAAGTGGCAATCGAGGGCTAATTTCTCAAGTACCCTGATGCTTTTTTGTATGTTCATGAGGAATGTAAATATTGACTGGCTCTTTCTGTCAAAGCTGTCAGTCATGGATGCCTGTTCGGTTGCTAAATATGACTGCAACAGTGGCATGAGGACCAGTGCCTTGAAGGTGTTCTGCTGTCATTTTCTGTGAAATTCATGAAGTTGCGAGGCTTAAATTTTTTTCTTCAGATCAATTGAGAAAGCTTTCTTGTAATGAAAAATACAATACTGAGTTTGTTTATTGATTGGTACTGTGAATGTTCTCTAAGTGTGCTATTATAATAGCAAATCAAGCTATTCTAGTAAGAAAGCAAAAAATGCATTGTTAAATTCCATTTTGTTGCAGGTAAGGGCCACTGGGAAGCTAACGTTTTGTTTAAGAATGAGAAAGGGCACATAATTCATGATAAAATGGAGATAATGGTCTGAAGATGCTGACGACGTTGCCTAGATTTTATGAAAAAATACGTTTAAAAAGAGAACCAATGTTCCTTCTAGGTGGTATGAAATATGCCCCATTCTGCTTTTGTTGATCCATCTTCTGGCTAGTAGCTATTATATCAATCTTATTAGGCTTCCTTTATACTTTAGAGTTCTAAACATTGATTTTTATTGTTAAAGCAATTAGAATGAAGCTGGATATTCTTGGGTCAGTTTGTGATAACTGATTGCTTCACTGGCACTGAAGTTTCAAAACAGTCTGAGCATGGATGTGAATTTGGCTGCCTTTGTTTTTGCCTTGTCTCTGTTGGCTCTCTAATTTCATTTTGCAAAAAGCCGAATCAATGTAGATGATACATGAAGAGAATTAACACCAAGAAAAACAGCTTTAACTTTCTTCAGAAAGCCTAGCTTGGAATAGGGCTGGCAAGGTCTCCTATATAAATGCTAGGTAAGTGCTACTTTTAAAGTAGGATGAAAAGCAGTGAGTTGTCCAGGCAGGGGAGAACCCCATGTCTAAAAGTACCAGGATTAATTATTCTGTATATTCACACCTTATCGTTCTCTATTCACACCTTACTCTGTTTCTATAAAAACTGAGTAACTGCCATGATAGGGAGTTAGTTTGTGTCTTGCATCTTTGTAGAATTAAGATTGATTTTATACTTCTACTGATACACTCATTACTCTCACAGTGTAATACCTGTTTTGTTTCTCTTCTTGTATAGTTGCAAATAACAGCCCTTCTTTCCTCTCTCAGTCCTCACTCCTGACTAGAAAATGATGCTCCATTCCCTAGTCAGTACACAAACTCTTGCTGTGGTCCCGTTTTCGCTAATATTAAAGCAGTGTGTTACCTGCACAGTGACACAGGTGTGTTCTTCATCAGGCAAAAGCACCTAATCATCTTTCTGTAAAATTATCTAGATCACAAATATGCATTCTGTTCTGGCTGCAGATGAATAGAGGATATCTAACTTAAACGAATGGATTCATTTATATTAAATCAGTACTTTGTATCAGATTTTTAGATCCAGCAGTATCTAATCCTAGCTCTAAAGCCTCTGTTACGAAATACGGGGGCTCGAATTTCTCCAGTAGCTCTATCTAAACTGTAGCCAAGCTTATGTCTGATTCCTATAAGGATACTCGGGAGAAGGTTTGAATTGAAAACCTCTATTTAATTATCTCCTTTTTCCCTCCTCCCTCAAGGAAGCGCAAATGGTGCAGGAATTGATACCTACCAGGTAGACATTTCTTTCCAGGCCAGTGCTGAGCCAGTTCCCCTCCCCGCCATGTTGGGTGGCACGCTGTCTGACATCCCTGCCCAGCTCACTGTTCTCTGGCACCAAGCTGCAAAGATGAAAAATATTTATTCCAGTCCATCTCATTGAAGTACTATCATGAGGTGTTCACAGACATGCTGGGACCAGTCTTTTACTTACAGGAACATTTATCCAGGGGGATTTAGTGTGT